GGTTCTTGAAATTGATACGGGGGGTCTCGTTTGGGATTCTCGGCCCAATGAAGGAAAATGGGAAGAATCCCAATATTCTGGGCCGAGAATCCCAAACGAGACCCCCCGTATCAATTTCAAGAACCGCTGGTGCTTACTGCATCAATGGGATCGAGTTTTCTCCTTGAAAATTACCAAACTTTGAAGCGTTATAGCTCGAAAACTGCTAAAAATCGAGTAAATACATTAAAGCTTAATGTATACAAAAAAATATATATATAGTTCCATTTGAAAAACGGAACTTGACCATCATACCACGTTAAATAACAAAGTTAACAAATATTTCTTCTCGCTGAAACATGGGCCCCATTTTACCATGCAATTTCCATATTTGAAATTTTGCATTCGGCCGATAGTTTTGGAGTTAGAGCTCTGTATCACTTATGCTGGGACACCCTGTATACACTTTTCTATGAAGATATATTTAAAAATGACCAACGTTTTTTTCGATGTTCACGATAACTTGAGTGAAAACCTGCTGAACGAACGAAGGTTTTTTTGAAATTTCGATTTTTACTAAAATAGCAGCTGCCTTCCTCATTTTTTTACTTTAAAAATTATCATTTTTTGTTAATAAAATAGTAAGTGCCTTTTGAAAAAAAATATATTTCGTCCAGTCAGTAGATGTTGACATCTTCTAACAATAATTTGTTTGGTATGTTTCAGATGAGACGTTCTTAAACTATCATGTACACTATGTATTAAATTATGAAAAAATTCTTGAATTTTGGTTACGACTGCGTGTATTTCTTTAAGCGCGAAAACAATTTCAAGGTATGCTCCTACTGGCCTAGTTAGTACCAACACATTATCCAAGACTTGATTAGAATTGTAAATGCGACTTCAAGCTAATATCTTCCCGCGAATACTGAACCTTTCTTCAACCGTATCGAGCAAATAGGCTTTTATCGAAACGCATCATCTTCGAAATACCGTTGAAGTGGATCACAAGGGAACCTCGTTTGATAAACTTTATCGTCTTACCTCCAAATACTTGTTAAAACTTGGCTGCACGAGTGAACAGACTATCAATACGAGGACAAACGTCCTCGCGATCGTCATCTTTGCCGCTTTTAAAACTGAACTAAGAAATCGATGGAATGAATCGAGAAAGTCGTTGAACTTTCTCGAAATTGTTATTCTTTGTCATTGAAAATATAATCCAGGCGTGTTCGCGCAACCTAAAATGGAAAGTCAGGATGTTGGCCAGCCGTTTGTTTATGCATCACTGAACATACTCTTGCCATTGCAACAGTGCGACTGGCCTTTTTATTTCGAGAATTGAGTTTTTAGTTCGACAGACTTTCTCACACGATATTCGTTAACACAGAAATGCCTAGAAGTTTGGAAAATTCCGTTTGACACGATCGATAAAAGTTTCCTACTCGGTGGTAGAAATCTGCTACCGTTAGACACTTTCAATTCGCGTGGATTCTCATTTTTGGTCTTATCGCTTCTGGTAATAGAGGTCACTGTTCAGCAGAGCGGTTTTCTAGGTCGCAGGTGAAGAATCACTGGAGCAAAATGTGCTGTCCCGACGAAGTTCTCGATCGACACAACCTTCGACCAGGTAGCTCATCGAACATTCGGTACGTCGATGTTGTCGTCGCGGCAAAACTGAATCGCTGCAGAAAAAGAGACATGGTCTTCCGGGACGGATATTCCACGGGCGAAAAGAGGAAGGGACAGGCATCACCGGTGCGTGAAGCGTGACCCTCCAACAACACACCGTGGCACACGCCAAAATCCTTCCATCTTTGACTCCGTTCAAATTTCTTAACTCGTTCATAAGTTTGCATGAATATAATTCACCGACTGAGAAAGCGAGGTCATAGAAAGTTAAACCAGTGATCGACAATCTACGATTTGCGGGTCAAATTATTATTTTTGCATTGATTATAGTTTCGTTTCTGTAGTAGTCCTGCGTCTATTATTAATTTCAATGTTAATATCCATATATTCATAATCTATACTAATATTATAAAGAGGTAAAGTTTGTTTATTTGTATGTAGGGGGTAATTTCCGGAACTACTGAACTGATTATAAAAATGTTTCAGTAATAGAAAGCTACACTATTCCTAAGTAACATAGGATATGTTTTATTTTCATAAAAGTACGTTTAATTTGAAATCTCAAAATTTGTAAATCAAGTCGGAAGAAAAGCGTTCCTTGACTACTGAGTAGTTAGATATGCGTAAAATAATGTAATACAAAAATAATGATTATCAATAGATCTAAAAAAAAGTCAGCGACACGATATACCTAACTTTTATATTTAAACCACAATAACGTTTTCTATGTTAAAAACGAATTGAAAATTATAACGTGAACGTTAAGGGTATTTATTACAATTTATTATAGGTATAATAGGTAAAAAAGAATCATTTGATCATCTGGAAAATTTCATGAAGATAAAATTTGCACTGTACAGCATGTTATTTGGTCGCATAGTTTAGAAGATAATGGAAAATAAAAATAATTCACAAAGAAATGAATTATTGGCCATTAATCACACGACCGAATTCGTCATTAAACTTCAACTTTAACATTCATTTTTCATAAATAACTTCATCTATGTCTACAATCATAAATGATTTCAATTTCACTAACGTGTTGAAAGGTATCAATAACTCATGAATAGACTGCGGATCTTTATGCATTTATAGGAAATTTGAATGTACAAGAAACTACAAAATGGAAACAATATGCAAGAATATAAAAAAGATTGAAAGTAAAGTTCATATTTGCAGAATAAAATAAATTCCTATTTAGGTTCAATTTTTGTAGGCACGTTCGCGAAGATTTTATTTTTTATAAAAATCCGCAGTCTACTCATGAACTATCGCAGAAAGAATAGATAGAAGAATAGATAGAAGAATAGATAGATAGAAAAGAATATTACTAGTCACTTTAGTCAGGCTATTTTCGTAACTATATAACAATCAATGTTTCATAAAAATGTAAGAACAAAAACGTTGAATTATGTTTTTCCAGTTTCTTTTACTCGTATACAATTTATATTTTGCAGAAAGTATGAGTATTATGGAAAGTGGACAATTCTTTCAAGCTTGCTTCGTCTTCTAGACAAGCACCGTAACTCCAATTATCCGGTGGCGTAATCAGTGACGGTACAGGACCGCGTAATTCATTTTTTACAGATATAATTGCACCGTTGCGTCCTGGCAAGTATCTTCTGCCATCCGACGCCTGCGAACGATTTCAAAGACCACGGACTCAGCTCTCGCTAACAACCATCAAAGGTCTGTCGTACGGTGCAACCGGAAATATCGTATTGGATATCAGTTTCAGCTTTTTCCTGAAATATCGTACAGTTTACATTAATAAAATTATTAGTCATTTTTTGTATTCTCTCTATGATATATCGACAAAAACATATTCATTCTGGATATTACTTCAAACCTCCGTAAGCTCACATAGCTCTGAGGTAATATTTATTATGTACACTTTTGATATGTAATTAAATACTATTGTGAATATGTGTTTTTAGTGTTATAATAGAATAGAATGGTCTACAAACAAGATCGCAACTGATTGCAACAACTGTCTTGCAACTTCTCACATCAGGGTGAGTATAAATGAAACTTTATGCATATTAAAATTTGTCTATGAATTTATATGTCAGTAAAGATTATTGTTAGAGTTATTCTATCGTAGAATTGTTTCGGAAGTCTAACATAATTTGAGGAGGAAATATTATCTATGGAGGAGTAAATGATTGTTTCCTCAGTAACTTACATCATCTTACTACTGCTAGTAAGTTTAACATTCCGAATTTGCTTCTTGGATGTTTGATATATTATTTTCTCAACGTTTCTGCGCCTCTCTAAGAGTTTGTAGGTCTTCTGTAGTTCCTTCAGTTCCACCGTCAATTTTACGAAATCTAGGATATCGGGCACCTACGAAGGCAAAATTTAATATTTATTCTACGATGAAGACATTCGGCTTTCCACGGTGTGATTCTTCACGGTTGATGATAACTGAGACTTTCGGGTGTAAGCTGTGGTCTGTCTAGACTTTTTTATCCATGTACCAATCAAAGAGAGCATACGGATAATAGAAAACGGAGTACCCTTGATAGAATAATGTTCGACACCTACCTATTCAACCAAACAATCACAAATTCAATTGACGATCAAATAATCATGACATAAGCACAGGTATTTCGAAATGACTCGAGCTACAAGAGATTAATAGTATACTATCTGACTGTCTAACACTATCTGATACTATGTGATTTTAATACTTTGTGGAATAATGACTCATAATTAAAGAATATTAGTTATGCGATAGTTAATATTCATTGTGATTAATGACTAGCAGTCATGCATCCATGTTATTACTGAATAATAATTAATTAGTTATTTGTGAAAAAGTGATTATATTGGTTATTAGTTATTAATAGACTGTAGGTGTTTATGCAAATTCATATTTTTACGAGTACAGATAAAAAATTGAATAGAAACGTAAAATATCTGCCGGTCGCGAATGTGTTAATATAACAGAGGGTAATCATTAGTTCTTAGTCTACACTACAAAACTTAACTAAAAATTAATATGAGGTATAACCATTTTTCAAAATTATTAATAAGCAAACGAATTATGTAAATAACAATACAAGGAAATGTTCAATAGCTGCAGAAGATGGTAGAGGATGGTAGAGTCTTGTACTTTATAAACACATTTTTAATATCTAGGTACTTATTTAACACATATTTGTATCGTAATATTTTTTCAAAAGGCTTAACATAACTAATGACCAAGCATTATTCGGTAGTCATAGCTAACAAGTAATATATAATTGTGACTAACGAAAGTAATCTTCTCAGAATTTACTGGTCAATTGGAATTATTTTTGACAAAACATTTGTGACTAACGACTAAATTATTCTGACTAATGATCAATCATAATTCTAATTATTCTTCAATTTTATCTAAATACTCCCAACTCTGATCTTCTGACAATCATGACTTCTATTGGTCACCAAAAAATCGTGACATAAGCGCAGTACTTTAAAATGACTCAAAGAACACAGCTTCCGCCCGGACCCCTCGGTTAATATTACCGTATGGTTGTTCATGAAAGTAAGCAGATTCTTCAATCGTTCGTCCATTCGTATCACGTCGACTTCCACATTCGCGCGTTCAGCCTCTAATTCCTCGATTTGTTCCTTTTTCAGTGTGATATCTTTCTTCACCTCGTTCAACGTGAGCAACAGGTTGCTAAGTTTCTGTTTGTGTTGCGTCAGTTTCAAATGGTAGTGCCCTGCGAGAATGGATTCATGAATGAAATCTCTCGGTATCGAGTCTTTACGTGGCGATTAACGTTCACCACCTGCGATCCTCTTCATCTCGATCACGTAGCGATTCTTCTCCTCGATCATCCTTGCGTAATCCTTGTTCTGGATGTTCAATTGTTCGAAGTCAACGGCGTGAAGCGCCTCCCCGAGCTCCTCTCTCTGGATCAGCTGCTGTTTAGCCTTTTTGATTTGCATCTTTATCGTCGCGCTCTTTAACCGCAGTCTCTCTATTATCGTGTTAGCCGATCTCAGCCATTCCTTGATGAATCTTTACGAGAGCCCGCGTGTGAAAATTCTATTCGTTACCGCGATTAGCGATGGGGCTGATACCGTTTTTTATAAATAATATCCGAGTAATTTGCCTACTTCTTCCCTGTTTAGTAGACTGCGAATGTTCATGGACTTAAAAGGACATACAACTGCAAAACCACTTTTAAGATAGGTATATTCAAAAAATGTGTGTAAAAAGACTACGCTGTGAATTGTTTTGAGACTTCCAGTATATTTTATTGAGCATGCAGAAACCTGTCCCAAAATGTCATTAGCATTCCGTCAATCGATTCTATAGCGTGCAAAAATAAGCACTGCAAAAAAAAAACACTGGTGACCGGTGGACAACTTTGTGATCACGAGGTATACCTGACATCAAAAAACTAAACATTTTTTTAAATTAGATATCTGTGAATATGGTTTGACGTAGGGTTATCTCGATATTTAAAAAAATAAAATAGTGGGATATTGAAAAATATTTAAGTGTTTGATTGAAAATAAAATTGATTGTTTTTTAAACGGCTAGGTTCCGCCGTAGCGACAAGTTTTTTTGAAGAGAATGCGACTTGAATCATGTCCATCGAACTCAAAGTTTTCTCAGAAAGCTGTCAACCAGATTACAAAATATCGGTCAGAGATAACTCCATTTAAAGTTTCAGTTCCCTTCGATTGATCACTTAACATTGCTTTGCATTCAAGGCTGTAACTTTAGCAATAAAAATTTTGTTTTCAAATTTTGATACAAAATTCATGAGATGTATATGTGTTAAGGAATGCAAACAACATCGACTACATTTTAAATTTGACAATGTGTTGACAAAGTATTGCATAATAATTACTAAAAACAAAGTAATCAACTACTTAAATAATTACTTAAATAACTACTTTCTAATTCAAAAATAATTATTCCAAATTGTAATGAATACAAAAGTAATCGTTACTTTACAGCTCTGATCTATTCCTTGTAAAAATATGCATTTGCATGAACATCCACTGTCTACTGATAAGGTATCGAAACGAAAAAGAAGCTTTTATCGTATAAGTAATTATGTGTATGCTTTCATTAATTGAAGTTAATGTTGCTAATATTAAGGGTCCTTCGAACATAGTAATTATTACTCCACGCGTCACGTCCTTTCAGAATCTTTTCGTGGGTTGAACTATAGTTCTCAAATAATTGAAACTATAATATTTCATGATCCATCCATGATAAAGATTGTCTACCCTAGACTTGGTTACTTGAAAATGATGCTCTATCAGCTGGTATCGATAATATTGCCACATTACTAGTCTCATTGCTAATCGTGATATATGCATTTTGAAATTAGTGCAACCACCTGATGACTCTTTCCGCTGGAATTTTCCCAGTGATGGGATCGACGCCTTTGACCACGACCTCCTCTTCGAACTCTTCCTTCGCCTCGTGCACCTCGCTAGTACGGATCTGGAGTTCCTCTATCTCAGCCCTCATATGCGCTTTTCTCTTCCTCACTGCTTCCGTAAAATCCTCCAGCTTCTTCCTCATCTCTTCGACCTCTTTGTTCGCCATCAGTATACGATGCGCCATAGTTATTCTTACAATGGTGAAAATACAGGATGAATTCGGGATAGAAAGCAAATTCGAACATTCAAATAAAGATTTAATCATCGGTTTACACGGTACTCGTGTTAATCTTCATGTTAATACGATTGGGAACAGACCTGGACACTATTGAAATAATATTATTTAAAATTTTATTTAACATAAGACGTTATTTTATTTCGTTATTTTTATATCTGTGATTACTTTTCAACTAACATTATTTGGAATATAATGTCAAATAACATGTTACTTTATTTTATTTTATAGTAATTTGGAATAATTGTGAAATAGTTTTTCAAAATTATATCAGGTGAAATTACAAGTATTAAATAGGAAACAAGATCAAGATCATGTTGTGTTCAAGATCACAACACTGACCTGTCTATGTTAGACATTTTAAAGAAGGAATTTTACCCGAAGCAAATTATTGTAAAAATGTTTGTAAATAAATTCTGTTTATTGAATAATATTTTGAAAATTATTTCGTCTATTAAAGAAATAAAAAAAGGAGGTAATTCGTTATTTGTAATAGCTATTATTTCAAGTAAATTGATTCTCATTTTTATTTTCAAATAACTGTATTGAAAATAATGGTTTAAAATAAGTTATTACAAATAGTTATTTCTTAGTTTTATTTCAAATTAAAATATACTCAGGTCTGGTTGGGACAGTTCAAACAAATTTTATATTAAGGAATGGAGTTTCTGTCTAACAGAGTTCTTTGATATATTAATCTTTGTAAAGAATTAAATACTAATTCTAAAAACAAAAACAAATATTGAGAGCGAATTTTATCGAATGAGGACTATCATCGTCTTCGATAAATGAATTATAAAGCAAACTATGATTGTTTGAGTTAGCAATAGAAGTGATGTAGATTACTTTCAACTAACAAAAAAAGGAGAATTTAATTTTTAACTGGTCACAGTTTCATTAATCGCTGAAATGGGTTATTAGCGACTCGAAAAAGACTAGTACTCTGGAAATTAATTCTAACTTTGCACTCTCACTCTGAGTTCTCATTGTGAAGATGCTTGATGTTCCTAGTCGACTTCCGGATAAGATGCTGGTCATGCTGGTCGCGCTGGTAATGCTGTGTTTGCCAATGTCGTGGATGCTCATGATGCTTTCACGAAAACTCATGTGCGACGTCTTCGATGCTAGATGCGCCGTTAGTCTTCGTGCGAATTTCGACCTCTCCAACAGATGTATTATGGCTTAATGAGAAATTTAGTGATTTACATGGACGTTGAAATTTATACGGTCCCTCATAAATAAATATCTGTTTCTTTGAAGAAATCGCCATTGTGATAGTGTTTACTTTTCATAATTTGAGGATCGTGTCGCGTGATATATCGCTCGTACACGTCGTTCTCCAGAGTCATCATCCATATCTTCTGCAAAATATCGTCCTGCATCTGTTGCAGTTCTTCGTAAGTCATGACTGAAATCGAGCAAATTTTCGTTCATTTTGAAAGCAGAGTACATCGATTAACGTGATTCAGTGGACACGCACCATCGAAATTTATGTCGTCATCCAATCTCTGAACCATTCGTGACCCGATACTCAATATACTCTCCCGTATCGACATCGTGATATTTATTTACTCGGTGAAATACAGAAAAATGATTCGTGTTAATATGAAACCAAAAACGATACAAGGGTTAGATTTTCAATTTGTGACCTGAATACCGTCACGTATACGTAACACGTTCACACGATTGGCACAACATTTTTTAAGATTGGTTCAATTTGAATTGTAAGAGAACATCGAAGTTGTCTGTTATAAGATAAGGCGCCGCTTTGTTACGTATAAAGGTCGATTCAGACTATACGGCATGGACCGTCACGTTCCAGCAACGACACATACCGGCATGATACCAGTATAAATCGAAAAGTCCCTTACCATTTTGCAATCTAAGGATTCGTTGTCGAGATATAGGCGGTTGAAACTTACAGATCTAACTTCCGGTGCGGGCTGTTTGAATCTTTGTCAGCTGAACACACGGTCGCCGACCGTGGTCGCACATGGAGGCACTAACACGCGAGAAAGATGCACATAAAAAAAAATATTTTCGATTTATATTGGTATGGAAGCTTGATTCTGAAAAAAGGTCCCACATATTTGTGAACACGCTGTATACCCTAAATTCGGATAAAAACGATAGTGGGAGTCGTTACTATGATGCCCGTATAAGGAGATGCGTGGAGGCACGTATCTCTTAATTTTTCGTGGAAATCACTACCGCCACGCGCCCCTTTTTCTCGGTAAAAACTTTATCAGAGCGCCATGCTTGTATCCGCTCCAAAGGACAGATGTCACGGAGGAGAGATTCGATAGAGACGACGATAACAGAGTGGAATCTCCGTACATAACACACCAATGACCTATCATTACTTAGAAATAACTTGATTACCTTCTATAGTACCTTTTAGTGTTTTTTAATTGTAATTACATATATTTATAGTTTAAACTATAAAATCATGATGCCAAATTTAAATTAAAGGCACACGTCCTGAAAATGGCTTAATATATCTCTTGATTTAATCGTGAAACAACGAATAATCTTCTCAAAATACATTTATTGCATTATTTACAAAGTGTAAGAAATTTTCGTGGCACGTGAAATTACAGAGTTTTTCTAAACACCCAGTCTATCCGACTTAGATTCACGAGTCCTCGGATTCCTTTAGCAGCGTCTCCTTCTGAATCTCCACCTCGTTGATGTACAAAGAATGTACTATTCCGATGTCTTTTTGCCCCGAACTGTATGACCTGATCGTGGCTGGGAGCTCTGCTACCGAGAAAAGTATTTCCGCGCCTTCGTCGGTAAAATCGCTCTGAAAGAAAAATCAATTCGCTCGAACTAGATCTACCTTTAACATTAAAAACTGTGTTTATATTTAAAAATTTATTGTGTGTCGCACTATATAGAGAGCGCGACAATTTTTTGCATATATCCAAATTATCTAGAAATTATTTCATACTTTTTATATTTTTGTTCCAAAAATTAATTTATATCCTTCCAGTAATCATTCGTACTTATTTAAACGAATTTAAATTAACGAATTATTTAAACGAAACACTCTTGTTTAAGACCCTACAATACCACTCTCATTAATTTCTACTTTTTTCGTAAAAGACCTCTCTGACGTTTGCTCGTCATTTGATTGATCTAATTTTTGGTTATCGTTTGATCTTTACTTAGAAGCTCAACAATGGTTCTTACCTGTGTTTCGATCTGCTCGCCGTTAACCCAAACGTTTTGGGTCTGTTTATCTACAAAACAATACAACATTGTTATTTCACTGTTTTCTAACTAATGGAAGAGTGTCGACGATTCACCAGTCACCTAACACTATTCTGTATTCTTCATTTCCAACGTTGGCCAACCAGGTCTCCAGAACCTTCGTCTGGGATTTGACAAAATGTGTGTAGCTCTTCCCGTTCACCCACAAAGTATAACAGTACCTTAAACCTGTATAAATTTCACTTAGCTGTTACTTGTTCATTTGGAAAACAGACATCTCGCGAGAGTTAGATACACTCGCCTGGAATTGGATCAACTCTGATGACGAATTTGTTATCGTTGAATGTGAAAGCTTCGTCGCCAACGAGATGAAACATCCAATCTCTGTGAATCAATTCCTTCCCGTCAACCTTTACCACTCGACGTCCCGTCGCTGTTCCATGTTCGAATTCTATCACATGATTGCCGTCATTTAGGGGAATGGTCCACTTTACCGTTGGCTCGTCTAATGATTCCAAACTGTGCAAGCTCCTAACGATCATTGGTCACGTGTTTAATCGGAGCTTGACTTATTGTTAGTCAAATAAATAGATTATGTTTCTTAAAATAATTACAAAATTTGTTAGTTGATAAAATTAATTATGCGAAGAAGCGTTGCTCTTATCGATTAATTTAACTTTTATTCATAAAAATAATGCTCGACAAATAATTCTCAGATCAATAAATCGTTTGGTGAAGAAAAAGAATAATTTGATTTAATTTTTAATTGTACGAAATTAAATAATTCAATTCATTTTTATTGATTCGAGGTTACGACACAGCACGGGTTTAAACGATGAAGCAACACGCAAATAATGAGTTTGTATTACTGATCTAACTTTTCATTGCTTTTAGCCATCGTATTCCTAATGCGAAAATAATCTTCGATAAATGCTTTAATGTACTATATTATTCTCTGTCGCACCAGCACATATTACTCGAATTATATTTATCACATTTTACTCACTTCAACAGAATAGCAGCCATGTTCCCTTGGTACTCGTCCTACCTGCACCTGTACTGGCCTGTTTATTGATCGAATTTACCACGGCCATCGCAAGAATCGATATCATAGTCACCATGCGATATAGTATAGTGCACGATACCACAAACTCACTCGTAACATCAAGATCAATATTTAAATCCACCTTTGGCTCGTGAAATTAAAAAAAAAAGAAACTTCTCATTTCACCAACTAAGTTTTATTCATTGACATGAAACGTTCAATTGGCTTGAGAAATTGAAATTTAAAACATTTATATTTCATACCTTTGACACACATTTGCAGCTTTAGAAACAATAAACTGGTTTAGAAATTTACGACTTTATTTGCTTTATTACAGGTTTCGTACAAAGTAGGATGTCTTCTCAAATACGAGAAATTACACACGAAACAGAATTATTGAGGAAGAGCGGGTAACAATTTCCCTGAGCACAGCCCGAATCCAATTCTATAGCCATCGCCGACACAGTAACCTGGAAAAAACGGTAATCGGTCAGACTATAGACTTCTTGAACTATTTAAACGAGAAGGTGAACGCACCGCGAATGAAAACTTCGTCGCCGTCTTGGAGGAACTTCCTGCTGGTTCCATCTTTCAACTGCACGGCTCGAGTACCTTTCCAGGATAACTCGAGCATGGAGCCAAAGGAGTCAGAGGACTAAACCACAGGAGAAAGGGTTAATACGACGAGTAATTCGATCATTTAATTTCAGCTGTTGCCGATAAATAAAAATTTGGGACGCACCTCGCCGCTTATTGTGCCCGAAGCCATTAAATCGCCTGGATTGATATTGCATCCGGTTACGGTGTGGTGAGCTAATTGCTGCTGGGGTGTCCAGTACTGGTATTTATAGTTGCTGCGGCAAACGGTGGTGACGACACCGCTTGGAGCTGTTATACGTAACAACCACGTTACGAACTTAGTAATTATAATATTTGTTTAATATAAAAGTATTTAACAGCCATGTGTTTAAGGGGGCACTCTCTCTGGGGGTCAAAAGTAGATTCTTTTTATATCCTCATTGTTTAAGGTTTTTAAAATGTTTTTACTAAATTATACTAAGAAGATTTGAAAAATATCATAGTTATAATCTTTATATAACGAGCTGGTCCGTTAGAATGATGGAATACACAATATTTAAGGCATTTTTCTCGAGACGGTGTTTTTTGAGTATGTTAACTCGATGTCTTAACAAGCGCATTTCTGCAGTAGTAGGATATTTTTGATATATTAAACATTACTATTCTACTCGGGCAACTAAAGACACAAACATTTGCAAAAGATCAAAGATTTAAGTTTAAAATGCCGCCATTCGTAAATTTTCTTTTAATACTTTATTCCTTAGTTCATAATCTATAATCTATAGGTTAATTTAGACATCTATAATCTATAATCATATTCGTAATGAATAGAAAAAAGTCATTGATTCGGACCACCAGAGCGATAACTTGTCGCATTCATGACGTGACGTGGAATATTGTTCATAAGTTATGAATCATAACTTTGAAACCATCTAAGCAGGATAATTATAAATTTAATAAAATATTGTATATACATGTATAAGTAACCGTACAAAATTTTAAGAGTTTATGTCAAGTACATTGGCTGTGGAAAAAATGATGAAAATTACCTCGAAACTGTTAACAAAGAAAGGGTACCTTCTTAATGAAAAAATATTCAACAGCCACGTGTCAAAAAATCGTTGCTTATGTTGTTAATTGTCGTCACCTAACTATTGTAACAACAGTGCGTTCTAAAGAAATAGGAATTAATCTTACGTTTAATATCGACTTCCAACTTGATGTCAAAGTTACAGGACTCGCTGTGCTGCAAGTACGGAAATGGAACTGGATCTTGGAGCACGTTGGGCACTTTGAATGGTTCTAGGGCTTCCATGGTAACAACCCACGGGGAAATGGTCGTCCCAAAATTCTTTGCCCCAAATGGGCCCAAGGGGACGTACTCCCATTTTTGTATGTCTCTCGCTGCAAACAGTCACTGAGTTAATCACGATAATAATTTAGTATTGTGATATTGTGTTTTCTAAAATTTATAATTTCGAATAACACAAAAATAGGAATTGTGTAATATTCTTTTGAGCGTGAAAACAAGTTTCTTATTGCAAAATTATAAACGTGCAGATAGTCGAGTCGGTTTATGAGACGAGCAATATCGAAGTTATTTTTGAGAAAGTCCTTTTCAGTATGTACAATTTACACATGTCTTATTCTGTAAAATCTTTCGTTCTCGGCTTCAATAGCAAATGCTGGGTATCATAAATCCCGAAATCGGAAGGGTCCGCTGACCGAGGCCACATAGGTTCACGCTAGATCACGGCTAGTGATGCGCACGAGACGAGATAGATCTCGATCTCGTCTCGATTTCGAGATGCGATTAGTAATGATTTTGAATATTTTTAGAGAAAGCATCTACCGCTGTCCATGTGGTGTAATATTACAGCAAAGTCATATTCTCGTTCATTGCTTGAACAAATATTGTTAATAATTAATGTAACTATTATCAGAAATTAATTTTTATTCCAGCTAACAGATATAACAATATAGACAAATTTCTCACGATTACTGTGTTCAATACTTATTCTGAACCGTGATTCTTATTAATATTTAATCGAAGACTGAATGTTACTATATGCATTGTAAATAGTCAACTAATTCGGAAATGTACATATTCAATACATTTTAAAGTTTTAGATTATTATACCAATGTTTTTCGAGAAAGTAGTATTTCCGAACACGAAAAGTTGAGAATAAGATATTTTTCTATATTTTAATATCTATTAATTGGAACAATTAAAACTTAATATCTCCGACATAATAAAACATTTGTGATGTATACAGTATTATTCAGTGTTCGATTAAATATTAATAACAATAATGGTTCTGAATAGGTACTCATTCGAGACATTAATCGTGAGATTTTTGTCAATATTCTAATACTTATTGACTGCACCAACTAAATATTAATTTCTGACAACAGTTAAATTAATTATCAACAATACTTATTATTTAAACAATGATGGGGAATATGATTTTGCTGTGATATTAATATTTCAAGAATTGCTGTCTCTTTAGATTCAACGAGCCTTCGACGCGGCCGTCACGTGGTTGTTGTTCGCCCTTCCCCTTCTCTACTTTGAGAGGCACAAGCGAGCCGCGACCCTCGACACAGGTATACGAAGGGCGCGATCTCATTCTTCGACGATCCTTCGATCGGTATGGATCTCGCGATTGCGCGTCTGCGTCTCGTCTCCCTCCTATTTTTGCGTAGTGTAGTTTCCCTTAGTTATCGTAGCTTGGTATTGCTTGCGGGTACCTTAGTTTGGTTTGGTTAGTTTTAAGGCATGTATTTAAGTTAGTTTTAAGGCATGGATGTACGAGTGTTTGCCTCTGTCAAATAATTATTAATCATTTGTTCAATTCTTTTGTTTGTTCGTAGGTCCATGTTGGACTCGCAATTTCGTGCTTCACTTCGGTCACTACTGCTTGACGCTATAACCAGAGTGACCAACCAAGTGACTGGCCGAGATCGGTTGCCGTCCTCCAGTGGGTCTGATTTGAGAGAGGGTCAATCAACGCCTCCGAGGAATCTTCTACTCTCTGTACACGTCCGGCGAAGTCGAGGTTCTCGGCGCGGTGCAGTAAATCCAAAAGTGTAGTGAGACGAGTGCAAGTCGGGTCCTGGACTCCTGACGATGTGCAGGGAGTAGAACTCCGTCTCAGACTTTACGACCGTCAGACATACCTGGTGTCGCCAAGGTCAGGCGTCCCGACGTACACTGTAAGGTCGGGAACGGGCCCTCGACAACAGGTATGCAGGGAGTAGCGTACTGAGCGGAGACATTGATTGTCTTTCTCTCGAACCAGGCCCACCAAGAGGAAACAGGACTGACTCTGTAAGTCTAGTTACATGGTCGCGTCGTGTCGCGATTTCCATTTAGTTTCCATTTAGTTCAAATAATTATTTGCCAGAGTCAGACTTAGACTTTGGAAATCAAAGGGACTTTGTTTTCTTTGATTTCCACGGTTTCGTGTTTAGTATTAAGCTCGTTGACACTATGTAGAGTATGTATCTACGTATATATACTCTATGTAGAGGGTAATCAAAGAAACTTTGATTCCTTCTATCTATCTCCGAGTCTCCAGTCGCAGCAACTTCCACGTAATGAGACCTAGTAATCGGTATTATTCGTGACGAACAATCCTTCGTCGCGAAGAATACCGAGCTAATGGCTGCGAACTTGGAATAAGATCTTTAGATATAAAAAGTACAAAGTGTAAGGTGTAAAGTGTAAGGTGAGATTAGATTTAGATTAACAGGAATATAATTAGTTTTCAGAAAAATTCATTTATATAAATTACGAAAACCCGCTACATCACACGTCACGGACAAACCTTCACGGCCAATTTTGTACCGTTCGAGGAAGGCAGGACGTAGACCAAGTGGGCTATTTAGGTTACCTGATTAGGTTGCGATTTTAACGAACTATCCAATCAGGGTAGTTTTCAGTTGAATGTCCTGTCTGCGATATCCTCGAACCTTCTTCCGAAAAGAAGAAACGGCAGAAGCTCGAAAGACGCGATCGCGAGCACGTCGCTGCATTTCAATAAAACACGATTCCCACGAGCTTGAAAGTTTATATTTTTGAACACCTAACGTTCCTCTATCGCGATTCCGCGAGGCCCCACACAAAGCTTCCTCTTTGCGATTATAAATTATAATTTTGTTCTTTAAAGTGTAATTTCTAAATTTTCAGGTGATTTTGAATCTACCTTTCAATCATTTTTACACTAACGATGAAAAATTGTATTATACGAATGCTATATATGTATATGCATACATATAAATAAGTCAGTCTCATAAGTATTCGTACCCTCTATGTCTATTGAACAAATTTGTCTAAATTAACTGACAGGTATGATGTTTCCAAATAAATGATTCATTGTAAATATGTAAATATATAGACTTCGCACATGCATATATTTATAATAAAAACTTTATTTAGAAACATCAAACCTATCAATTAACTTAGACAAATGTCGTCAACAGACATAAAAGGTATGAATACTTATGGGATTGACTGTATATTAATATATATTTAATAACGTTCAATCATCATGATGATAAACATTGTTATTTTCTATCTTAGGAGCAATTAATTGCAATGATATGTTCGCGAAAAAGCAGAGGTTTTTGATGGTATTGTTAGTTCTTATTAATTCATACTGTTAGTTTTCTCCCGTGTATGTTTAACATTTTACCGCTCCAGTCATTCATGGTAACCATTCCAAATATATGTTCGTTGGCTTTCGATGCTGGGACGGTGTCGCCCACATGTGTTGGAGGTCCTCCAACAAAGAAAGCCACTTCGAGCTCGAAATCCATTAGTCTGGAAGGCCCAAAGACCGGGGCTGCACCTTCTACCGGAAGTGTCTGACCACGTGGTCGTCTTATCGGTGTGCCGGAAACAACAACGGAGCTCGCTCTCCCATGGTAACCAACGGGTAAATATTTCCTATGTTTACATAGATTCTATTAGGTCTTTGAACAAACATTTAAAAACAATACAAATTATCTGAAGCGTGTAATTAAGTAACATTCCGTTTGAAATATAGACTGTAATGTCTCCAGTTCGAAATTAAAATACGAATAATTATTTACACGACTTTGAAAAAATAATCAATAGACACTCCACTAAAAGATAACATTAAAAAGAATAAGATTCACGATCTCCTTGATTTTATCAAATAAATGAAGATTAATAAAATAATATAAGTAAACTTTAACGTTACCGCGGCTAATAATAAGAGTTGATATGACTTTAATTTAGATTTAAAAAAAAATTATAGTAGTACGAATTAATTACCAATTGGGCATCAATGCATTTTCTTTGTCGCGGAACATGATCCCCACATTTGTGGCATGGTGAATAGAAGAATAAAAGTCAGTGTAATCACCGATTTTCGCTGGCAGGTGCATCGTTGCTTCGCTTTGTAGCACGAATGCTCTGCGGGAGAAAATTAAAAGATCATATGAAATCTTACTGCATCTTTTAATAAAAGACTACAAGTTTTCTAATCTTACTTTGATCGCATATCTGGCTCCTGCAACGTGTTATTAACGGCTGCCAACAAGTGTTGGAGTCTGGTTCTTGCTTCTACCCAGGCGGGTCTCCCCAAAGCCATGAAGTCGTTGAGACAATCGCGACGGAAGACATCTTGATTGTTTTTTAACAGTGGCCCGTCGAAAAGGTGAGAGATAACGGAAAGATCTAAAACTTCATCGCCCACTGCTACTCCGATCCTCTTTTGCGGCTGGAAGATTCATGATTTATCATGATACAGTGCGTTACTCGCAATCGATATTACCGTTTGGGAAATGAAGGTGTGACTCGATCGTGTCGAGTCATGCAATTTTCGAATAGTGTGATCAATCGAGTAACTTAGCAAATAAGGAAATCACTGCAAATACCCATTTATACGTTTAACGAAGTCATTAAATGTTTTATTTTATCATTAATTTATGGCATGATTCATCAATTTCGTAATCGTTGTACTTTGTACTCAAAACCTAACAAAGCACTCACGAGTACAGTATAACGGACACTGTGTTTCTATAAGAGAAATTGAGAATCAAAAATTTCACTGAAAAATACAAAATATTTGACCGATAATCGTTTGACCATTTCTAATTGCGCGCCTTTAGTTTAGCTCTTGTCCACAACGTTAGTAGATGGCGTTTCGTTTTAATGAACCGGGAATGCGCAATCTTATCAATAAAATTCAGTAGATAAAACGAAGATTCATGCTTAAATTTAGAAGATAAATATTTCTATTTTAGTAATATTGTTTGATTTCAATAATTATATAATACCCATTCATTCATTAGAGTAATACGTTTCTCAAATTCATATAACCTACAAACATTTCTCGCGACGAGAGTTACATTTCAATCTACAACTAATAAGTTTATGATGCTTTGTGTTCTTGTCTACTTACATTACTCGCAGTTGAGAAGACACCATAGGGAAGATTTTCAATAGGAAACTCGCAATCTCGAGAATATTCTACGAAAGACTTCATCGTTTCAGTTCTTTCGGACGACTGAGACACAGTCTTAAAATTATAAAACGCGTGATAATCACGTAGAGGCTTGTCAAGGTCAACTGGATTTCACTGGATAATTTATGTACATGCTTACGAACGAGCCCCCGGTCCAACTGGTTTCAAATTTTTTCCACGATTCTGTTTGTGTCGATCTGCTAGAAGCGATGAATACTAGAAAATGAAGGAACTAAACGTTTTATTGATTAGAATAAACACAGAAAAAGTTTCAAAATACACATTCATAAATAAAAGTTGTATTCTCACTCTTAATTATGAATATTTATAATTGAAAGTCATACTAACGGACTTAATCATCTTATCAACTTGTATGCTTTGCCATAAATATACATGTAACTTTTGAATTAAATTAATTAATTTTTGGAAAAATAGTATAATCGACTTCGTACACACTTTGTTAGTTATAACAATAAATACATTCGGGGAGTATCAAAGTTCATATTCTTTAGTCATTATGAAGAGAAGTATGCAATCAAATGCAAATGCAAAGTAATGTAGAACAATAATTAAATAAATTTGAAAAACGAATAAATTTAAGACTGGTACATTAAGTGTTGTAGTTAAGTTATTCGACTTCGTCCTCTTATAAAGAAAACCAACTTACTCGAATGTCCTTGGATATGTTTCAATTAAATGTCACGTCATGAATATTACATATTATTATGTCATTTTATGTGTTTTGATCGTCTCGTTAATTTTTATGTTTCCGTTTACATATGTGTACAAGGTGTTCGTCTGAATGATCCACACAATTTTTCAGGTATTTTCAATAATTTCACATAAAAATGTTTTAAACAAAAACTAATTTGTGTTCAGTCGGTTAAACATTTTAACGTAGAAAATTCCAAACAAACATTTTTTTTATAAAATGTCAAGGTCACCTCATATTTCTCAATCATATGTATTTCTTTAACTCTTGAGGTGATCGCTATTTGAAACATTTTTCGCTATGTATGATAAATATTGTCGTAAATCGTGGGTGATAATTTTTTCTGAACCCACCGTGCATACATAATATAGTGATATAAAATTTGGAATAATTAGTAGAATTACAATACACCTCAACTAAATTGTAAAAAATGAAAAAGACGAGAAACTGACGTAACATGCATTCAGAATTCGGAATAACAGCAGTTTATTAGACATTGATATACAGTGGATAATAAGGTCAATTAGGTTGATAGGTGGTACTCGTCGTACAACAAGATCACGACGTGCTAGCAAACGTCGTGCTACATCGCCGCGTGTTTCATCGCAAAGTCCATATTTGTTTCGCTCTTTGTCGTCAGTAGATATACATATACATATTTATATATATATATATAATTATTTTCTCACCTATGTATATATATAAATGTATTTTTCTTTTCTGTCAGTTACGTACAATGTATAAGGATAGGTTTCCCGACGTTCGCGAGGCTCTCTCTAAATTGTTTAATATTCTCATCGTTATGGAAGACGTGGGATTTTGTTGTTGTTTCACCTTACTCCGTCGCCAACTTAGACTAATAATTAACGATATTGAGGTCAGGGTCGTTCGCCCCGGGTCAGTTTGACGTATAATCACAAGGAAAGGAATTGACCGTTGTGAATTATGCTTGTGCCAATTTCGTCGGTGTTCCAACAGATTCTGACGACAACGACGGAAATTAGTTCTGTTCAATCGTGCGGGTGCGTTGTGCAGCTACTTAGAACGAAATGTGCGTGAAGTAACGTTTCGAAAAAGGTGCAATATCGTGCTGATAACGCTAATGCTAACGAGTCGCTAGCCGCTTTAAAGGTGCGAAGTTACGAAAACAAAGGCGCGTAACGACGCAGTAAATTGTGCGGCGAATAACAATAATATATAATAGCGTAAAGTGCAGTAAGATAACAATGTCGCAAGAATTGAATACGAATCATGGCGATCGAAATGCCACGCAAGACTTAGACAAATTTTCTGTACAGCGATAATAACATATAACAGTTTGAAATAGTCACTTCAGTCTTTCACTTGTCACAATGTTATGTGAAAGAACCGAAATGATTTCACTGTTTAACATAATAGTTGTTGTCAGCAGTGATGCCTGATTTTATTACCTCGATAGTAATTCATTGTTTCATTATTTTAGCAAGTTAAAGTTATATTGTAAAAAGTAATGAAATAAGGAAACCTTTTATTTGGAATAGTATCTCAATCAATGTTAATTCAAACGTGCCTAGGCTATTTCTCGTATTGAATTCCAACAACGGCGATAACAAATATCGGCGTAACGTGCTTACAAGCCTGTAGCGTGCATTACATATATATGTATATATATATTAGGTGTACTGGAAAGTAATGTCGTTTCTTTTACATTAAATTCAAACAAATTTTTTATAAATTTCTATTTTTAATTATTAATTGTATAATCGCTCCCGCTATCAATAGCCTTTTGCCATCTAGTGTGCAAATTGTCAATGCCAGATCGAAAAAAATCAATGAGCTGATGAATGATAAACAAGTATTTAAAATTTGCAAAAACATTATTTTCCAGTTCACCTAATACAAGCGACCGATTCGCGAGCCTGTCTCAGATGAAATGGGCACAAGAACAATATAGAAAACAATCTCGAGCAACAGCAGCCACATGGCTACTCGTATACTCGATATGTTTACATTCACGAATGACGTTAGATCCTTACACCTGCCGTACGCGAATTAAAGGTTGAAGGTCTCTACGGAAACAGGATCGTTGCGCACTCCCTTTATCCATACAAACGACATACAATCTTTCTTATAGGAATATCTCGCGTGGTATATCTTCGATTTTAGGGCAACACGTGCGATCACGAGGCAAACTCGGCCATTTTGGTTGGCAGTACCTTTTAACGCCGATAAAATTGTGGACAATTAACAACGGTTCGATAGAATGACTCTTGCAGGTATCCGGTATCGTGGTCAGACGACTGTTCCTCTGGTTTTTCTTCTTTCAAAAATACACATCTCTCACCCCCTCCCCCTTCTCTCTATCGTCTAAAGCAGGTGCTCTCTGCGCAGAATATCAGTTTCAAGTTTCGTGCGGGGTAAACGACTATCGACGACTTGGGTAAACGTCGACGGGAAAAGGAAACGGTAAATTCGTTAGATTTAAGTACAATAAATACATCCTTCGTTAACATTTACACCTAGATATATCTTGTAATTTACTTAAGACCTAGACTCGTCATTCTCTTTGTTACTCAATGGCTAGTGAATCGAAATTTATAGAGTCGTTCGGTTCTTCAGTGTTTCTTTTTTTCTCCCTTTTTCTTTTGTCGAACAGATTGAAATTCTTTCGTCGTTTCTCTTTCACGGGCGAAAGTATCGTAATTAGTTCTAAAAAAGAAGAAAAGTGACGATCGGTTTCATTTTTGTCTGTTCGATAGAAATAAATTGACGAGTGATGTATGGCGAGCTACAGAGTGACACAGTTGTCCAAAAAGTATCCCAAGAAGACGATACGACGCAATCAGGACCAATTACAATGAGTGTACAAAAGTAATCGACGAACTAAATGATAACCGTTCGCGCGAATACTTGAAAAAGCATGTACTTTCATGGGTTTGTGTTTTGTATTTTAAAATCTCAACGCTAAATATATATATTTATATATATATATATAATATACGCTTTGTTTTTTATATATTTATACTTTTTTTTTTAAATACATTTATACTCTTTTTTTATAGTTTTCTATATATTATTAAATAGTACTCTCCATTCGGTGAAACTTTTCAACAGTAAATAATAACATATACGTACGATTTGTATAATAATGGATGCAGGCCATTCTCTTTTATATATCCGCAAACGATCGATAAGTAACAAATTCATTTTAGTCTCTCAACAAAGTAACGCGCGGCACCGACAATTCATTTATCGTCTAAACACGAAATTAATTAATACCATAATTATCCTATCGTAATTATCCCCCGTAGTGTACCGTTCCAAGTAAAAATATTTTGTACCTCTTCCCACTGTTAGTCGTTCGTCGCATCTTGCGCCAGCGAACACTGAACAGCGACATCGAATTTGAGAAAGTTTAACGTTGATTTATTGTCCGTGTGAACCTTAAATAGAGCATTATTTGTATCATGATCGATCTCGATCCTATTCTTTCGTTTCTCTTTCAGCGTGCATGAACTTGTCAACGTTTCAGTCGAAACGGAGCTGTCCTTTCCCTTTTTGGAACCGACGTGATGGACCAGTTCTCGGAGATTTTCAAATAGTAATAATTAGAAGTACGCATTTTATTGCATTAATAGGTGCATTTAGATGAAAGTTTAATATGTACTTTATTTTCCAGAAACAGATTCAGAGTGGAATGTAAGAAAGAAGCTGTAAAAAGGATGCTCTCATTGTTTGCGCTATATTTTTGACACTGTGCAGTATTTCGTACAAGTAATATTTCTTTATTAATTGATTTTGAAGGAAAGAGGTATACCCGCGATGAAGACTTTACGATAATTAGGACCGGAAATATGAAATGAAAATAAAATAAATACTGAACTAATTGTATTCTGGTTGTGAATATAAAAAGTAGAATGCAGAGTTGAAGTTAGCTGTTTTATATTTATTATGTGAGCAAATATGTTGTATCAGAAATTATTCCAAAATATAATTCATTTCTCATCAAAAATATTTATTTGTATAAAGTTGCTGTTTAAGATCTATAAAATATTTTGCTCAGAAATATATATATAAGAAGATATATCCTCTTTTTAATCAAGAAAGATTGATATTTGGTATACAGAAACATTTCAATTTATATCTTTAAGATGGATACAACTCTTATAAGGTAAAAGATAGATATCAATGAAAATGAAATAAAATTTGAATAATTCAAACGATTAAAACAAATACTGTGCAAAATCTGTACAGCGTCGAAAATATATAAAACTGGGAGTGTACCATCTTTTCTTTACATTCTCCTTCGAAATTTGTACGTACAAAATGATGAAGTACAATCAAATTCTCATCTAAATACAACCATTAATTCTAATTGTTGC